GGAGGCTCCCAGACTGAGCAGGTCAGTCCTGGAAGAAGACGGGTGGGGGATTCCTGCCAGCCCACACTCCAGGTAAGACATGCAGCCCTCCCCTTCGGCTGCAGATCCCACCAGCAGCTGGGCCAGGGCCATTGGGAGCTGCTGTCTTCGAGGGAAAGCATGGCTGTCATCATTTTAAAGTGCTTTGAGTAGGCCTAGGGTGCAAGGATACTGCGTGAGGCCAGGTGTTTGGCCAGGCAGCCCACCCTTTCTGTGCCCGGCCTGAATCACAGCATAGAACTTAAGGGCAAGGCAAAGAAAATCTGTAATTCCAGGTGGGAAAAAGAGGTACAAACACGTCGCTTTGGATCACTCACTTCTGCCCTAGTCACCTAGTCTGACCACTTATGCACACTTCCTCTACTAAAGATCTCTCGACTGTAGCTAACACTTTTTTAGAACAGTTTTTTTTTTTTTTTCTTCCACTATGAACTCAGTGTCTCAGACTGAAAAACAGATAATCATTTTCCTTCCATTTGTTAAGGCACTAGATAGAATAAAATACAATCTAGTGTCATGGTGCTTTTCCTTCAAGAATAATCTAGACCAGGCAGCTTTCCTATGGAGAAGAGTGCAAAAACAGCCCGGAAAGAAAGCAATCGATCCGCATCATTATTTTGCCTTCAGAAATACCTTTTAATGCAGTGTCCCACATGACACCCGCGGCAGCCTAGCGCCGTGGCACGAAGCCGTTGGAAGGAAGCTCCACTCCGGCGCTTTGCCGCTGGACTCAGCAGCGGAGGGGGGGGGGCTGCTGCGGGCAAGGAGGAGCGAGGAGGGGCTGGGAGCGCCGAGCCGTCCTCCGTCCTGCCCAGTTCGCACGGCGCGCCTCCTCCACGCGCTTCCCGGCGGCCGCTCGGTCCCACGCAGCCTCTGCCCGCCTGGCTCCCACCGGGCAGAAATCCTCCTCCTTCGTTCCCCTGTCCCCGCAGGACAACAGCCACTGCCCTGCAGAGCTGCGGGGACAGCATGCAGGCGGCGCTCGCTTTCGGGAGGCACGGTAGGGAAGCGTTAAAACCCGGGGGAAGAGAAGAGACTGGAAGCTGAAAGTCTCGGAGAGGCTTAGGCTTTTCTTCTTTCCACAGCTCTCTTGGAGGAGAGTATCTCTTTTAACAGCCAATTTCAAAGCCACAATTACCTGCTCCTTCTTAGATAGGAAAGGAGGAGGTTATCTCCCAGCTAAGAATTAGCTCCCTAAGGAGCACACACGTCCCGGGAGACCTGCGGCACGCACCCGTTGCGCCTATGCCTACAAGTGCCCATACAGTTATCACATCGCACCCCACGTGCCTTCTGCATCTAAATCAGCTATCGTGCTGCACCAGTTTGGAACTGCTAGAAGGGTGCTATGATACTGTGCTTCTGCCACAGTGCCAGGAGACGGGGAAGGCTGGAAACCCTCTCTCAAGCCCTCTGTTTAGTAGAGCAGCACAGACAGAACATCCATGAGCAAGGAGCCCTCCTGATGCCTTTAGGTGCAAGACAAGCTTTCAGGGTGCCTGGGGGCTCCTGTGTGCCCCGTCTCAGGGAGGCTGCTGCCAGAAATCTGTCGTGGACAGTGGCACCGTGCCGGCAGCACTCGTGGTTGCGCGCGGGAGGCAGAGGTGACACCTCCCCACTGCCCTCCACGCCCCGCTGCGGAGGGCGAGGATGCATAAAGAGACGTCATCAGTGCCCGGTGGAACAGGGTCTAAGGACAGCTTCGGGTACGGGCGAGCGGGGCTGGGAGGAAGCGTCCGGCCATTACCCGAAGAGCGCTGTCAGCAGGAGCAGGCTGCAAACTCTGCTTCACGGCATCGCGGAAGGCTCCTCACCAAGAGCATCTTTTCGCTACACATCAAGGAACCTTAGCGGGCAGTCGATGCTGAGGAACCGCTTCCAGGTAGGCTTACGGAAGAACTATACCCTCTTGGCAAACGAGCAAAGCCCGCAACAACAGCCGCGCCGGCAGGGAAGGACGTAGGACCCCCACAGGACGGCAGGGAGATCACGTCCCAGCGGCTCGCAGACCGATACCGGCTCGGTAAGAGAACAGCCCGGCTTTCATCCGGATTACACAGGATCCTCCAAGGGAAGCGATCCAGGCAGTAGCCGAGGGAAGCCAGGCAATTACGCCGGGGCCAAGATGCATTCATGTAATATTATCACTTATGTGAAATACATCTTGCACCAGCTAGAAACAGGTCGTTTTATTTTTAGCTTTTGCTTTCGAGACCTAGGAAAACGCAATGGGATTGCCGTATACAGGCGGGGAACTCTTTCCTCCTCCCGTTAATAATCCTTTTGCGTCCTTCATACCCTCCTACTGAAACGGAAATCCGTACCTACTTTTAATATACAGCTAATTGCCTTAAACAAACACACTTCAACCTTGGCAGAGCTTTATGGATCCCGCAGAAAGATAGCGAACCGCCTAAAGCACCACTACAGCCCACGCTAACGCTTTGTTTCCCTTCGAAATAATAGTAGCACCGGACACGGCAGGGAGCAGCTAAAGCGAGCCGTGGCGGGGCAGCCGGCTGGCACTCATTCCTCCTCCGAGCCCAAACCCGCCGAGGAGCCCAGCCACGATCCACCGCAGCCGGCCGGGAGCCGGCGGGCAGCAGCGCTCACTAGCGGCCGCTGCGGACCCGGTTCCAGCAGGGCTTTCGGGCTGGAGCTGAGTTAACGGGAGAGACTCTCCCCGACTTGCGCCTTTCTGTTCTTCTCACAACCGCCCTGCTTGCCACCCAAGTTTTCATATAATCTAACGCGCTGCTTCCTAAGGACGAAGCAGTCGGCACTTCTTATTCATACTGAAAAGACGAAGTAAATGACAAGTGCTCAGTTGGTATGCTAAGCAGTTACACAAAGTTTCAAAAAGACTCAAGAAACAGACGCTAAAAGTGCTTGCACTCAAACAAGTGTTCCTCAAAAAGAATTCCAAAGGTATATTAAGTTTGTATCATTTCATACAGACACATATATACAACGTATCTAATTCAATGTTAAATAAACGCAGTATTTGGCAGATTTTTCAAAGCAGAGAGTTTACAGCAGATTTCCTTCAACAACTATTCTCACTGAGAACAACTACAAATAAAGATCCCACTAATGATTTTCCCAAAAGCCTTTCTAGTCTATCAGGGCAATGCTGGCACGCCTCCTTCTCATAGAGTACCTGTAATAGCACAATAAGCAAGAAGTCGGAACGCATCTGTCCATCGCTCAATAGAACTCTATTTCACTATCAACAGAAGCAAAATGAACAAAAAGGTTTTATTTAACATTTAAGTGCATAGAGAATTCGGAAAGAGGTACTACAAAATCTAGATTACCACCTTTAAAAAACAAAAGCAGCAAAACAACATTTAAGATCTTCATATCTACATGTTGGAGCGTTTCATATGTTCCTCTAAGTCTCAACACCTTTTGTCAGATTATTAAAGTCATATGAAAAAGAAGCAACTAAAAAACCCAATAAAAAAGCAGAGATTAAGTCTCCAGTCAGCTGTGGAAGGTGCATTGGACAGCTGAATTGTAAGCAATCAGAGGAAATAAAAACACCTGAGATTTTGAAATCATAGTAATTCAGTTTAAAAACACACAATATGGCATTAAACATTACTAATTAAGGTCTTATAAACCTAGAAGTTACATAAAAAGAAATGCACATTTGCAATTGCACAAGCTATCATTTTTCACAACTACAAGCCTTTGCATTTCTTACATCAACTCATAACTTCTGTATGGCGATGGTAATAGACTTCCTAAGATGTGCTTCAACCAGGCTTATTCAAGAGTCTGTCAGCACAACTTCTGCAGTGGGAACTGAAACAAATAAAGTGGCACACAGACCAAGATGAGCCACACAGACCTACCTTTCCTCAGCTAAACCAGTATTCCACAAGCACGCCAGCAAACACTAAACTAAACTAAAAGTGGTTTAGGTATAAGTGTTTAGCTCTCTGTTAAAGGGAACTAAAGAACTCATTGCCAAATTTATTTCTTCATTTTGTAAGTGCTACTGCTTTTTTGTAGTTTCTCATAAACCAACTTCAAAGGAAAAGCCCCTCTCTGTATTAAAGGAAAGGGCAGCTTGTTTAAACAGCTCTGATTTTTTTTTTTTTTTTTTTTTTTAAGTAATTATCCTTTATTACTTCAATAACAATTAGTCAGGAATACCAGTGAACCTTACAGAAAAGTTTGCTTCTAATACAAAACACTAAAAGCTTGTTTCATCTCCAAAATGCCTCTTCTCCTTCAGTACTGTAAGATTAACAGAAGAACACTCTTACCTCCTTCGAAGAATATCACAAAACAACAGAAGCATCTTGTTCTGCAGAACATGAAGGATCTTCACTAGTATTAATCCCCGAATCAAAACTGAAGCTACTCTGTGCAGCAGAAGCGTGAGGGATCAGCACATGCAGATCAAGTGCACAGGTACATTTATCAAATTTAAATGAAATTGCATATTACACTTCATCAGCGCTCTCTCTCTAACAGCGTGTAACCAGAGATGTGAAAGCAGCGCATAACTTTCCTCCTTCATTAACTGACTAATTAGGACTATAACCAGTAAACTAGTTACAGACGAAAAAACCAACACCTGAATTTGCTGACTTCATTTACTGAGCTTTCCTCCTTAAAGCAAATAGAAAATGCCTGGTACTTTGTGCTTCAGTCAGTATTTCCAGTAATACACTGTAACAAAAGTGTTTCAGAGTTAGGTTTTTCCCCCTCTTTCCACAGAAGAGCACAGAAATTAATGTCTTATGCAATGAAGACTCCTTGCTATCACTCTAGAAATTACCCCTCTGTTAAAAATCCAGGACCAAACAATTTTCTAAGATTCACTCTTTTTTCCATTTCTTCTGGATTCGCATAAAAGAACCCCACGTGGATGTAAGTCCCACTGCTTATTCACCTGGACTCTCACGCTGAGCTGGCAATGACATGCAAGAACAACATAAGACAAATTTATTCACATCAAAGTTTATAAAATTTGAACATTAATTAAACAAGTAGTAGCCTTCTGCACCAGCCCCTAGAGCAAAAGTCCCACCGTTTGAGAATTAGCAGTATCACAATCAGCAGAAAAAGACACAGATTTCTTCAGAGAAAGGTAATAAATAAAAACTTGTCTTCTTGCTTCAACATACACAGTATTTTCAACTTTTCCATAAACACAGAACAAAGCTCATGAAATACATTGGAAGCAATTTTCCGATGGACTGAAACATTTTCCTGCAAGGTTGAAATAGCTGAATTTGACTCATTCAAAAGGCACCATTTTCCAAGAAATATTTTCCCTTTCTAGACTTACTCCACCTCTTCATTAATAGCATTCTCTCACTAGCTAGAAATAAGTTTCCAAATATTTAATTATAATCGAAAAAAAGATTACAAAATACAAAGCTCTGTGGTACCTGGGATGACAGAGATGTACTACTTTGTTTTTCCATTTCTTTTGATTTGGAGAAGTAATGAACAAAACAAATGACAGTGAGAACTAACACGTATGATCTAGTTTCACCAAATAAGGTTGAAGATTTAGAAAGGATTTCTTAAATAAATGTAAAATGTCTTAGCCTGGCAGATGTCATTCCCACAGAAGCGCAGCATTCCTAGAGTGAACTAATGCCCTTCAGCAACACAGAAAGTCAATCACTTAGGCAAGGTAGGACTTTTTAAGAGACCAAGTATTAGCATCTCTGAACACTGGAGCAGGATGAATCTTATTGGATCCTCTGGCAATTCAGAGCTCATCGTGCTTTGCAAGGTCCATACTGGGTTTGATGAAGACTCCTTCCATTGCTTTCCAATAGTTGTGATGATTAGCAGTGGGCATGCCATGAACTTCCCGCTGACCTCTAATGGGATGGCCATATTGCTCCCCCGTAATTGAAAGGAACACCTCAGTTCCTGCGTGCTTGAAGCGCACTGCATCCTCCCGCTCCCAGTGTGTCCCACTGCACTGCACAATCCATATATCGAGGTCATCTCCTTCACCATCATCACCAAAGGCACTTACTTCCTGTTAGAGACACAAATCTCCTGAAGTGAAAATATGAGCAAACGCTGCCAATGCACACACAAAAATATCAGCCACAAAGCCAGCAAAACTTAAAGGCAAGAATGCTGAGGAAAGAAACATTACACTGCTGTCAACAGCTCTCAGATCCAGAAGCAGCAACTCTCTGCAACTACAACTTGAACATAAGTTGCCAACAAACTCCAACACATAACCTGAGCGTGAAGTGCCAACAAACCGCAACATACATTAGAAATTAAAGACATCTCGAGCAGAGGTCAGAGCAATCCCTCTGACAAACAATTTCAAAGAAATAACACTAATTCCCCACTAAAACAAGTTTATAACTGTAAACATTCAATTTTGTAACACGATTCTTCATAGTTATCACTGCAAAAAGTTTTTAATCACAAGGTCCCAACATTCTAACTTATTAAGGAATTGTATTCCTTTGTTGCTTTTTTATACCAAGATTACAAGTCAACAACTATTTTGGTACGTAGTGTTGGACAGACAGCTGAATGGCTCCTCAAAAAATAAAGATGGAGAACCATTACGGCAAGTAAATTCCTGCTAAAACAAAAGTTAGAGATCAGATTTCATTATGTGCCCCCAAAACTCCAAGTCTTTTCATAAACGCGGAAGGCTCAACTCCAACTGATTAAAGACTCAGCACAGACTGAAAAATCAGATGGCTAGAAGTGATTAACAACTTGAAAATAGAACTGCAATAGTTTGAACCTACTGAGCTAATAATTTAGGGTCATGTTAATTCAAGCTTATGTAGTCCATACAGCGTCAAAGACAACATACCAATTGAAAATCAAACTTCTTTGTTAAGAATATGAAATAAACGTTTGTATTCAGAACCACACCTTACTTCTATAAGACCAAGGAACTTGGATATAGTTAATCATACGTGTCCTAACTGTCTGGCTCTAGATCAGTCTTCACGGTATTAAGAAAAGTGGCTAATGTCCTATAAAAGTGCTAAGCATTTCAAAACAATCATCAGAGTATCAGTGGTGCAGAATAAAGAAACCAATATATGTTTGTAAAAACTATAGTGACAAACTGATACTGGTAGATATTACATTTTGCCTCTGTCAGCACCCTTTAACACATTATTCTACAATGCAGAGAAGCAACTATATGAACTTTGCATATCCAGAGATGGCAGCTGGCATCTAACTCTGATTCTTCAAAAGCAAGAAATATGGAAAGAGGTATCGTCAGTATCAGTCATGCACTATTTGTACAAAACTTATGATTCAGAACAACTTACTTGGTTATTGGAGAGCGGCGATGGGAAGTGATGGGTGTGCAAGTTTTTTCCTGTGTTTACATGGGTAAGTCGTATTGCCTGCCCACATTTCACCGGGGTTCCGCGTTGGCAGCTGCCATCAACCTTCCCACGAACCCGCCAGTAACTGTTGGCATCATCTGAAGCTTCAACTCCTGTCACCGACTGTTGCCCACTTCCTGTTGGAACAGAATTAAATGGCAGGAGACCCAACCCACTCCTGGAGCTCAGGAAGTCCTGAAAGACCTGAGGAAAGCTGCTTTAAACACGAAGGCACGACAGTACTAAGACACACTTCATTCTCACAGTTAATGTACCGGCTCCTGGGAATGCAGGTACCGTAACCTTTAGGCCGAAGAACGTGACAGAGGCCGCCGGCGCAGCGCAGGGCTCAACTCAGGGAGAGGGCAAAGCATCCCCTCACACTACAAACGCAGGAGATGCACGGCACTGCCGCGCCCCGGGCCACAGCCGCCTCCCCTCCCCTGTCCCCGCCCCTAGCCCACGCACAGTCCCATCGCCGCCCCGGCAACAGATCGCAGCAACCTCCGGCTTCATCCCCCGACCCCCTCACAGCCTCCCGCGGCCATTTCCCGCTCCCTGCCCCTCTCCCGCCATTTCCTCGCCTCCTCAGCGCTCCCCGCGCCGTTTCCCAGCTTCTGGCCCCTCAACGCGGCGCCTCCCGGCCCGACCCCGCTCACCGGAGCCGTATTTGACCTCGTGAGAATGCAACCGAACGCTGTGGCGGGTGTTAAGCAGCTTCAGCACCGAGCCGCAGGTTACGGCGCCCGGCGCCAGCTCCCTTCCGCCACACAGCCCGCACAGGAGCAGCAGAGGGAAGAGGCGACAGCCACCCCGCATCGCGCCGCAACCCACCCGGCACCGCCGCCACACAGCGGAGCGCGCTTCCGCAGCCCCTCAGCGAGCTCAGCCAATCGCTCCCCGCCAGCACCGCAGTCAACCAATCACCGCCCTCCCTCCGCTCGACCTCCATCTCGCACTGGGCCGCGACCGAGAGAACTCACAGTTCGGCAGGAGGAGCTCATTGGGCCGAGGGAAAGAGGCGACCAATCAGAGCAAGCGGCGTGGCGCCTCCCGGGGCGGGACGCGAGGGCATGCTGAGACGCTTTTACCTCAGCGACGGGCCAGACGGGGCCCTGCGCCGGAAGCGGGCTTTTGTGGGCTGTTCGGTTCGCCCGCCTCAGCGCCTGGCTGCACAGCTCCCGACCTCTGCTGCGGCCGTGGCCAGGCACGGAGCGTTATCACCCCCGGGCGCTCCCAAGGGTACGGGGAAATCCGTGCGCTTTCCTCACGAGGAGCTTCCCCTTGCTGAAAATTGCGTGTCAGTGGACAGCCTGCCAGGTTCGTTACAGCAGCATTCTCATCTAACGCGTAGTCGGGACTGTTAGAGAAATAATCGCTGGCGACAGGCCTCGCAAGGAAACACAGAGCAAAGTGTGTGATGGCGTAGCTCTGCGTTAGAGCTTCTCGCGCTGGGGTGTAAGTGCCACACAGAGTAATGCTGACTGCAGTGTGGCTGGTGGTGGTGATCGTGTCTGGTTTTGCACCTGAAAGTTCATCTGCTGTGTTTCAGTTCCTTTTGTAAACTTCTTCTAATATAAAGAGATTACTAGTACCTATTCTGTATAACAGGAAACTGGATAAAGAAAGCGTTGTACTTCATTGCATGGTGCTGGAGACTGAAGGATTTTCCCCCCAGCAGATAATAACAGCCTCCTTTACCAATAGGGTACAGCTATGGATAAAGGACACAGGAACTCCTACATAGTCCATTAGTTTTTGCCTCTGGAACTCATCACTGAATTGGTCCGTATCTCAGGAACGGTCTGGTGTGACGCTTCCAAAATCAGCATCATTTAACAGAGGAAAAACTTTTTATCTTATTAGCAATGCAGTAACATGTAGAAGAGCACCTGCCTTGGGATTTAATTATTTGTAAGGATTGTATTCTGTGTTGGCAACAGCACAGAACTGCAACATCATACTTTTCTATCACGGGATGATTTAGAAAACACATTAGTACTGCTGGCTGGAAGAAACATCGTAAGATGCTCAGATGACACTTTGTCTCTTCCACCAATCTGTGAGGTTGTTTTCTACCCATGTGATACCACTCACTTGAGTGCTCAGGGCTTTTTTCATGCTGGTCTGTTTTATGTATCTGACCTAAGAACAATTTCTGACTTAAATGTCAGACTTACCTTACAAGAAGCCTGTGTCCTAAACTCAGTGACATGTTCACATTTGCGTGCATGCACACAAGCCTGGTGTGTTTACCTGAGGACTAAAACTTCGTAGTCCCAGTACACACACACACACGAAAGTCTTACACTGATAGCCAAATGCTATATTTCTTTGTCATTCTAAGAAACCTTGCTAAGACAGGAGCTCACATTTGCACTTGTTACGCATATGGCAAAAACAGATGTCTGTAGTTGCCATTTTAGCCATGGAAAATCAATCATATGGGGCTTTAGCTAGCACCTGTTTGTCTTTCTGGGAGGTCACTCAGCCTTAGTGCATTTAGTACTGTTTACACGGTACTCCCTAGGATGCTTTTCAGTTGTACTTTAGAAATGTAATTGTGTTAGAACAGTTGCCAACAAAGAACCCTATCAATGCTGAACACCCGTGGCAATTAACAGCCACCTCATTGCTACAGCGCCCGCCATAGTTTCTAGCAGAATGCTGTAAGTGGCAGGTAAACTTGACACAGAAATTAACTAATGGTGCATGTTGGGAATGGAAACGACAGCATATTCATAGGAATCTCATTGTGCTGCTTCTGTACACACACAGAATAGTTCAGCAGCGCTGCAAAAGTGAAGTATACGGTGTGCAACTACAGTGCCTTCTGTTTTCAGACACTTAACCCTGCAGTCATTTCATATACTTGATTTTCAAGGACTGAAAGCACCTACAATTTCCACTCAGGTGCACCTCTAAGTACAACCTGGCTGTCCCTGAAAAGCAGATTTTAATGTAATTTTGGTGTACAGGAATGGGAAATCTGTAGCACTTGAAAATTTCAGAGGGAATACACTAATCCAAAGAAATGTATTACAGAAAAGGATTTTCCTTCTTTTTATATTGGCCTTTTTATAAAATGCTGTAAGTTTTCTGTTTGCTGCATGCAACAATAGCAGTGACTGACAACCAAGGTAGCATGGCAGACAACTCCTGGGATTGATGTACACCTCAGAAAGTAGTGCATCTTTGCATATAGACAGCCTCTGATTTATGAAGAACATTGCAATAACATTGCCTGGTTTCTCTTTCCTGGACTGTCAGTAACGCCAGGCAAAATATATGGGGCACAGTTCTGACCTTATTAGGATCTGATGCAAAAATAAGTCTGAATGAGCTTTTCCAGTGACTTTTCTGTGCGCTTCGTCCTCTCACTGGTGGCAGTAAGGACAAACTACTGAGTACAAGAGAGTAACATTAGAGAATCAGGCCTGTAAACAAGCTGTGTTAAACATATGTAGCATCTCTCACCTGTGCAGAGTCAAGCAGCATTGGTAGTATTAGAAAGGAGGCAGAAAACCTTGGAGTTTGCATTGGTAAGGGAAAGATGCATCTGTTATTGATTCATGACATTACTTCAGGGCCATGCTGATTTAATCTGTTGTAGTAATAGCCCTCATCAGTAAATGAAGCCATGGGTGAATGAGAGCTTCATCTAGAAGAGGAAGCAAGTAGCAGCGCGCAAATATCCGCTCAGAAATGCCAAGGGCACTGGAAGCCCTTACAGAACATGAAAAACTCATCTGTAACAGAAGTACACTGCTGTGAAGTGATGGAAACGCAGATACTGCCAGATTTAGCAAGTTCTCTAATACTTTTGAATATCTCTCATAAAAAAAATTAATTCCATGTAATCTTTCTTATGGGAAACTAAGGGGGCAGACCTCCCATTTTTGCACTCCTGCTCCTTAGAAGAGGTTAACGGTAACCCTGAATTCACAGATGTGCGATCCCGGTGCTTTCTGAACTGTCACCCTTTCCCTGCTCCAAACATCAGATTGTTATTTTTTCTGCTATAATGGGAATGGCTGAATAATTTGAAGTAACATTACAGACTGAGAAGGGGCGTGTTCTGCTTTGCTGGAACTTCATGTTTTCCTTCTGCGGGCTGATAACAGCTCCCATTCAACATTTCTGAGCTACTCAGCCTGTTTTTTCACTTTCACTCTGGTCGGTCAAGAATAATTTTTCTACAGTAAGGAAAAATGGCAGTTGAATGTGAGGACGAGCAGGATTTTACACACAGCATGATGGAGAACTGGCTTACGTCCAACCCTGAGCGACAGCACGTGTTAGGAGCGGCCCTTCCCAGAACTCTGTTCTCTCTGCCCTTCCCCAGTGGGGAGCCGAGATCTGTGGGGATTTCCTGAGAAAAGTTGGCTGACATGAAGTTCTGAGACCGCAGAGTTCACACCGCCGACAAGCCAAGGTGGCGGAAAGATGCGAGCGGTACGGTGGGGATCACGGAGCGAGGAGCCGCGCGTTCGCGGCATTGTCGGGGCGGTTCATTTTGCACTGGAGCACTCGGAGCGCCTAACGGAATTACTCGCAGCACCTGCAGCCGCCGGCACGAGCCTCCCCACACGCGACGCCCGCACCTGCCGAGGCCGACCCGGGCGCCTCCGCACCGCTCCTCGCCGTCTCGCGCGGCGCCCGGTGCCTCCCCCCAGCCTCCCTCCTGCGTCGCCGCGGCCGCCAGGGGCCGCCGGCGGAAGGTCCCGCCGCTCGCAGCGCCGAGGAGGAGCCGGCTCGGCTCGGGCGAGCCGCCCGCGGGGGCTGCGCACGAAGAGCGGTGGGACGTGCGGCGGCGAGGCGCGTGCGGAGCTCCGCCGGCAGAACCGGCACTGCGAAGCGGCGGCGGCCGGGAGCGCTGCGTGCACGGCGGCGGCGGTCAGGAGAGGAGGTAGGCGCCGTGTCCTCGCGGGGACGCGCCGTGCTGGCCGCGCCGGGGGCCGGCGGGATGCCCTAGGCGTTCTGCAGTTCTGCCGCCTCGCTCCGGGCCCTGCGGGTGAGGCTTGGGAAAGGGAATTTGAACTCTCTGACGCGCTATTAAACTAGCGCATAGAGCCCCTGATCTTTTATGCAGTTCAGTGCAGTGCAAAGTGGAGGCAGGCCTGCCTTTCTGCAGAAGGTGGCTCTGGTGCTTTCTTTCAGGAAGCAGGCACGGTGTGGGCTGATGGCCACGCACCAATCCAGCTGCTGTACAAACTGTGAGACAGCAGGCAGGCTGAAGTGACGGGAGTCCACAAAGAGCTGTGTCATGGTTGGGTTTGACCTCGCTGAGCCTGCCTTTTTCTCCTTGCTTCCAATTTGCAAATTGTTGATTTTTTTATTTTATTTTTTTTAAACTAGCCATGACCTCTAAGGATGTTTCAGGCAAAGCTAATAGTAACTGGAGATGACTTTGGCTACTGCCCTCAGAGAAACCAAGGCATCGTGGAGTGTTTCCTAGCTGGAGCTGTATCTAATGTGTCCCTTCTGGTCAATGGAAGTGCTGCAGCAGATGCAGCCAAACTGGCAACGAGGTAAGCTACTTTCTTTAGCTCCTGTGTGGACAGCCTGCTCAGGCTATTGCAAAGAAAGCTAATCTCATCAAGCTGCCTGTTCAGTAGCTCCAGTATGAACACTGTATCAGAATCTAGGCTGGCATAAGAAAGTTGGATTCTGGGCATCTTTACTAACGTCCTTTGAACCACTGACATGTAATTCATACCCCAAATGTGGCTCTTCCTCTGGAATTATCTGCATTGGCCATTCTATTAAGGTAAATAGAGAACCACTTACAGTTTTACTTGTATAGTTTGAATTTGTTGGATTTTCTTTTGCCATATTTCTAAAACATACATACCATTGGAATGAAAGCCTGTGCTACACTTTCAGACCAAAATCCTAACCCTAAAACCATTGGGACACAAGTGTAGAAACCTTTACTTCTAGTTTAATTCAATGCATTTGAACAGATTGAGTATGAGGACAGCCAGGCTCTTTTCAGAATTTGGAAAAGGTATAATTCTGCAGAAGGTCAGCAGAATGCTTGGCTTTTTCAACCAGAAAACCAATAAAATCAATGTTTCTATTCATTTAAAAAAAATCGATAAATCAATTTGTGAAACAAGATCAAAACAAATAAGACTCCCTACTCCATAACAGCAACAAAAAATCCACGATCAAAGAAATCAAAACCAAAAGCCACCATCCCCCCATAATACCTCTTGTCTGTGTTGTACATACCTTTGCTCCTTCATAAATTTTTCAGAGGTTTGTGGCACATCTGACAGAGTAGCAAATCAATAGCATGCGTTGTTCTCCTGGGCTAGCCCAGCAAGTCTTTTAATAGACAGTTTAGAAGGTAAAACCCAGCTAATGCTTTTAGCTTCTATGTGGGCAGGGACTTTGAAGTAGGAACGCATCCCAGAGCAGTAAGGCAGAGAAGAAAAACAGGAAAACAGAAAAAGGAAAGGAGCTGTACTAGGACTAGAAACACTGAGACTTTAAGCTTCAGATACATCTTCTGCAAAGGTTCTCCTTATTACTCCTCCTTATTACTGTGCTTTTCAAGGTACTTGGAAATTGCCTGCAGCTTCTCTGGTGAAAATGAACATTGGGTGGTGCAGGAAAGTCAGGGTGTGATGTTAACAGCAGATTGGTCTTCTGTTAACAAGGCTGGAGATGGCACATGAACACTGGGAGGGGAACCATCCCTAGGCTGATGAAGGGAAAGGCAGCAGAGCTAGGCAGAACACTGCTGAGATACCTAAAATCCTGTTAGTAAGTAAAATGAATGAAATGTAAAACAAGGAGATAAAGCCAGCACATCTCTCAGACATATAGGCACCATGAAGCCCTTCAAGCCCTAAAGCTCTGGTAATAGCTCCACTATTTTAGCTGAAGGCTTTTAAATATAGAATCCACCTGGCCTCATTTCCATAGCTAGAATGTAGGCTGTGTAATCAGAGGTTTAAAAACATCTTTGAGTCCAGGTCACAACACTTGTGCTAACAGCTGATATGGCTGTTTGAAAAAAAAAAGCCGAGTTGTGTGGTGAGTGACAGCAGAAGCTGCAACATGCTGCTGCAGTTTTGCTCTTCTGGAGGGTAATTTTGAATTGTACATGTGAATTACATATATTTAAATCTATTTCTGAGAATATAAGCTGGGTGACTTTGGAAACATCTGTTAGCACTGAAGATTAATGAGCCAGGTTCTACAATTCCTCACTTGTCTGTAATTTCCTGCAGCTGTGTTCAATCCTGCCCATGCATGGGGAGAGTGTTTGCAGGCATGGGGCAAGTGATCTGTCTAATGCAAGACTCAAATCAGGTGGTGCTAGCATACCTATATTAAACTGACATCTGAACATGTAAATAAAATCATGTCACCCCTAAGACATATAGGCCAGACTTATTAAAAATAACATTTAATCTTCATCTTGCAGTGCCATGATGCAAGAAGATTAGGAGGGGAAAAAGTATGACTCACTGCTTTACTGTCTCACCACTCTTACTCCTTTTACTCCTTCTTTCCCTTACTTGGTGTTATCCCCTATCTCACTGTGAATGTTTAAATTTTACAGTGTTTTGGGTTCTGTGCCCTGTTTTTTCCACCCCCATGTTTGTGTTATCCCATAGCTACCCATCTAAGAAGTACCACACCCACACATCACAGAATCACCATGGTTGGAAAAGACATCAAGATCATCCAGTCCAACCATCCACCTATCACCAATAGTTCTCTCTAAACCACATCCCTCAACACAAAATCCAAACGTTCCTTGAACACCTCTAGGGATGGTGACTCCACCACCTCCCTGGGCAGCCCATTCCAGTGCCTGACCACACTTTTAGAGAGAGAGAACTCCACAGCAGAGCTTTCAGCCTGTGACTAGACAGCAGTGTAAGCTGGGAGGCTGGATCCATCACCAATTGAAAAGAAGTTTGAAGTAAGCAGGTCGTGCTTTCCTGTGTGCATTGCAGCATTGTGATCTTTTGCACACATGATGCCAGGACTGTCAGAGTGCTGGTGTTTCAGTGACTTGTGGAGATCATGTATAATTCTTGATAAATTATGGTGTGGCTGCCTGTCATTGCATGTTTTGAGCTCTCCTCCTGTCTTCAGTTAATTGCATGCAGGGAAAGTTAATGTCTGCAACAAGGCAGCTTTTCTTGCAGGATAGTTTTTCTTGAGCACTTTGCAACTCCTTGCATCCTTCAAGAAGAAACACTGTTCCTCTGGAATTCTACTATTTCCTGCATTTTCCCATAGGCTTCTGGGTATGCCATCTGTTGCCCTGAGTTTTAATTAGAAGACTTGACAGAAGTTTGGCAGTAGTCAGCAGGTGGTTTTACCAGCTCTAATACAAACTAATTGCGGAACCAAGGAGTCAATAATTCACCTTTCCTAACATTCAGGCTTTGGATTTCAGGCTTTTCTTATTTGTTTCCACAACTGGGCTGAAAGAAAGGATCTGGTTATTTCAGGCAAAAGTGTAGTTTCACCAGAGGCCTGATTCACTGTCAGATGACAGATGATAACAATTGCTAGAGCAGTGCACAGTGAGAACAGCAGAAGGAAGAACAGAATTACTTTGTTATCAGTAACTCGAAAAGTTTTCTCTTGATGGGGCGTAAGACTGAAGCGATGTCCTGGTTATCCAGGTGATATAATCTCATATATTTATCAAGCCCCACTTTGAGACATTGCTCTTGGTGCTTCTTCAAGAGAAGGGATTTATGGACTTGAAGGGTTATTTTGTTGAAAATGTGTCTTCATTTTTCCATAGAAACACATACAGAGATGGCAGAAATGCAGAGACCTACAGCTTTTTACCGCCCCTTACCAGCCCAGTTGTGACTGTTTGGACCTTCTTCCTGTTTTCTAGGTTATTATGTCCAAACACTTAAATAGTGACAAATTTTAGAGCACAGCTTCAGCCTTCCTGGCTTTTTTTTTTTTTCCCCTCCTTCTTCTCTGCTTAATCTCAGCTACACAAAAGCTGAAGCCCCCACAACAGCTGGGTACATTTAACAGAAGAATCTAACAAAACCACATTTAATTGCTGTGTATGTTTTCCTCTTCCTTTCCCATCAACACTAATTGCAAAATGTGTGTGTAAATTGTGAATTAATTCTGACCCTTCAGTCGATGTCTGATTAATCTAGAAGTCTCTCATGCTTCTCATCACCTGCTTTATCTAACTTTTAATCACAGGCAGGCAGTTCTGCTGTCAAACTGAGTTTGGATTTAGGACAGCGTGCTGAGGCCTTAAACTGAAATCCCAAATCAGATTGATTTCAGAGGGCCCAGCATTTTTTGATGATGTGGAATCATGGACAGTAGATCTTCAACTGATACAAAAATTTAATTGAAAATAAAGGTAGAGCCTTACACAATGTACAGAACCAGTTCTTAACACTACAGAGGATATGGGGTGTTTCTGTCTACAAGAGTAGGTCCTTAGCAGTAATAGAGCAAGCCAAGATGGTATTTGATAGGATGCAGTTAGACAAAATGCTGCTATAGGGTGAAAGCAGGCAGTGGGTACAAAACAAACAAACATGCAAATGCCCACATTGAAAAACTAATATGTGCTCTTCACATAGAGCATGGCTTTGCTTTGTCTGGATTCAGACACTTGAATAATTACTGAAACGGGATGTCTGGATATTTATGTGAGGCCCTTAGTTGCATCACGCTTGGTCTGAAGCCCAATGAAACAGTGATTTCCCAGATAAGGTACAAACAGGATGTTGAAGGTGGGATCTGTTTACCCATCAGGGAAAAGAATAAGTGCCATGCTTACCCCAGAGTATGCCTTGAGCAAAGAATTGGCAAAGGTCTGGTATTAGGGAAATCAAGTAACTTCCACAGTGATTACAGCAGCTTCAGGGATCATAGGGACTGAACAGAGCGGCCAGTCAGGAGCCAGGGCACAGCTGCTCATGCACCAAACTCAGAAGCGTGCAACAAAGCTGGCAGCATTTTAAAGTGACTCAGTTTAGGGACACAGTCTGGGGACCCTTTATGCAACTGTACAAAAACCTGTTGCCTCAGCAGAGATTTGTTCAGAGCACTCATGTGGCAAAATAAGCAACTACTTGAAAAGGAAGCAGTTCATCTGGTTGTATTTCCTCTATTTCATGGGTATCCAAAATTTCAGCTTGCCTGAGCTGCAGTGAGTGAAGGAGAATTGTCAAGGGCCATATCTACATTGGTTGCTTCACTAGTAATGTCTCCTGATTATATCTATGGAAGCTACAAGAGATATAAAGAGCAAAATAACTCCACTTAGAAGAGCAAACTCTCAGCCAAAAAACGCACTTTTTCAACAATCACCACATCTGTGATCAAATTTGTGCATCAGGAGAGGCTTGCCAACATCTAGACTCCAGCCTCCAAAAAGGAGGTGGAAGGGTCATTGTCGCTTAAAACAACAAATAGAATTAATTTAGAGAGACCACCTCATAGATTTGTGTCCATATTGTTTTGTGTTGGCAGTGGTAGTTGTTACTGTAGTTCTTATAGCAGAAACTGTTGCTTGAGTCTCAGTGCTCATCCTTTTAAATTTTATGTTGGTAGAACAACTAGCAGTTAGATTTGATTGGCAACAGAATCAGCACAAATTCTGCCTTATCCATAATGCCTGAGGCAGAGGATTGGTTATGAGGGCAGACCCACCGTAGCTGAACTCTGCTTCCAGTGTGGCATCACATGCTGAGCTGAAGTATCAGTCTTTGCTTCAGCATTTCTGCTAATGAAATAGCAGGTATTTTATTGCCTTTGAAAAGATCTGGACAGCTGTGTTTGTGTAGGGGAAGTTCCCTTAACTTGACTTTTTTCCCTGCCTTTTTGTCCCCTCTCTCCTGCAACACAGTATGCCTTACTATTCTTTGGTTACAGAAGCTACATGTCTCTGGTGAGAGACACTCCAGAGTACTCTGAAGAGCTAATGCAGTGTATTTAATAGTAGAAGAAAGCCTGCAGGTTCAGTCTTAAAAGCCAAGCCTCAGGGCTTTAGATAGAGCATTATTGGATCCCAGTCTTCTGAGGCACAGCCCAGGTGTTACCGTAATATTGAAGTCTTACTCATTTTCATCTCATTGCTCTTAGGGCTTCAGAGACTCGTGCAGTGTCAGGATTGTTTGGGATGAACATTGAGCCCCTGGGCACGTGGTGCTGGAAGGAGCATCACCTGACTCATTGCATCCAGAGAAACAGGAAAGTGCAATCTAGAAGCAGAACCCTGCTGTGCCCAGTGAGTTGTCCACCTTCTCATGTCCTTAAAGCTCTCCTGGCATGTTTGCTTCTGTGCATCTCCCATAGATGAGTACTTCTTCTGAAGTTTCTCACATGCTGTGTTTTGAGTTTTGGTGCCTGTATCCCAGAGCTGTTAAACACTAACGGTTCCTCTTCAGATTCCTTCACACCAACAGTCACTCAAACCAGCCAAGACTAATTCTAGGAGAAAACTATTAAGATATTCAGCTGGTGTTTACCAAAGCTCTGAAACGTGCTCTAATGTTACAGAGAGAGTCTCCCCTTACAGTGAGAACAGAGCCAGCTCTCTGCACTTCCACATTCTGCACATTCCCCAGCTCCAAGGCTGGTTTCAGCTCAGGCAGAGAAGCAACTCTAATGCTGTGCAGCACAGTGCCTGGCTCCCTGGTGTCCCACACCTGTCAGAAAAGTTTGCCTTTTCCTGAAAATAGCATTGCTCACAGCATTGCACAACTGGAGGTTCATTTGATGCCCTTGGGAGACAACACGACAGGGCCCAGCTGTTCATTTCTTGCCCTCCTACATCACAAGAAGGCAAGTGCTCAACAGACAGTTTTCTGTCTGCTAATTCATGGTAGCACATGCATGCTTTTCTTCTAGACAGCAGTGGCAATAGTGCAAGAAGTGCTATCAGCTGACATAGTCAAAACTTCCCAGAGAAAGGATAAAGAACCTGAGATTTCTGAAAGAATGAGTTCCCCCTCTACCTTTGGGCTCATTTGATGTACACAGCAGGTCATGGGAGGAAAGGGATGTTCTTCTGCTTCAGCTCTTCTCAGAGTTGTCCATACACTAAGAAAGAGCCTAAACCAGGTCAGGTGCCTAAACCATAGTCCTTTAGCACAAGACATAGAGGAACCAGGACGAAAGAATTTCAATCCTACAATGTCTTAGAATGGGAAGGAAGTCATTTACCCTGACCTGGTCCAACCCATCCACAGTCCTTTAGTCCCCAGCAACTTTGCACTTCACTAACGAGCTTCAGAACAGCAGCTTATTGAGTCAGAGAGCGTGTCTTGGAAGAAGTTTCAAAGCATCATTTTGTCCACCCTCAGAGAATTTCAGAGGTGGTAATGAAGCTCAGCACAAACCTGAGAACCAGCATGGATAGAGTGGTGTTACAAAGAAAAGGAAGGGTGCTCACCTGTCTCTGAAGATCTAGACTCACAGGAAAGACTTAACAAGAGAAAGATCTCCAAGCAGAGACCCTTCCCCAGTGGCACTCAGCCCTTAAATGCTAAGAGAGGTGCAGCCAGGCTGCGCCCCTTCCTGTCCACAGCTGAATTGCCTTCACCTGTGCTCCCAGGGCTGGCTGGGTCCTGTCCCCAGGTGCTCAATCAGTGCTTCAGGCCGTGACTCAACAGTTGCCATACACGCCAGGTTACCCTTAAACTCAGAAAATATTTACGCTTGTAGTCTTTGCTGTTGCCATAATGGCTGCCTTAGGCACTATTTAGGTACAGCTGGATTCCACTTATGTGTAACTTTGGATGAAATTGTCAAGTAAGACTGAAGTTTTGTAAAGGCAGCTTTTTCAGTAGTATAAACTCTGGAGTTTATTAATTGTTTTCTGAAAGAGTTACTGTAGCAGTAGTGCTGAGTTATGGCCGGAAGCAGTGACCAAGCACCTGGTGGCAAGGCAGGGCAAACCTAGGTGAGCTCAAGTGCATGCAGTGCACGTGGGTGACTGGAAGGGTTGGAGCCATGATCAACCCCTTCTCAGGCATTGTGTAAGGGTTGGCAGTGGAGGTGAGGGTACCTCGCTGGAAATCCCTGTGTACCTGAGGCCTTCCAAATGTAAGCATCTTTTTTCCTTTGTTTCTGTGTCCATGGCTGCTGCACTTGGACTTGTTCTCATTTGCTGCAGCTAAAGAATTAGCTGCCCTGCTGTTATTGCTGTGCTTTCCATCTTATAGTGTTATGGTTGCAGTATTCAGATTTTTCTGTCATTTGCTAGTAACTTCAGGACAGATACTAATACCATACAGTTAGTTATAGTTTTTAATACAGATATGAAATTTATTCTGAGATGTATCACGGCTGCTCTCTCCACGTGAGCCAGGATGAGAACGCTGTTGGGGAATACCATAGGCTGGGCAGGTTTGTTATCTGGATATATTCTGCTCTGGGCTATTCTGATTTCCTTTCTAAAAAAGAAAAGGTCCAAAGCAACCACAATAATCTGGATTAGTCCGGATCTTTCACAGAAGCCTCATGCTTTTGATGCAGTGAAGGAGGTAGAGGTGTAAAGTTTAAGAGGTATTTTATTCCTATTACAGATACAACATCCCCATAGGACTGCACGCCAACCTCTCTGAGGGCTCCCCTGTATGTGAGGCGCTCAAGACAAACTCTTCTCTGCTCAGTGAAGCTGGATTTTTTCATGGGAAAATGGGATTCAGAACAGCTCTATCAAAAGGCCTCCTAAATATGTCAGAGGTAGGAGAAAGCCACATACATAGCAGAATCAGTAAGTCATGGCCTGAAGCAGTGATTGAGCACCTGGTGGGAAGGTGGGGGCAACCCAAGGGAGTTCAGGTGTATGCAGTACACTGCAGCGTGGGACTTTGCCCCCCTGCTATTATTGCTTTGCTTTCCATATTGTAACATTACGCACGTGCAACTTGCTTTCCTGATACAGCTCAGCCTACACTTATTCCAGCACATAATAGTTGAACATCTTTTTGTAGGTCATGTCTGTAAGTGTGCTTACAGGTGAATCTAGGCTGTGGTGCCTTGGCATCTGAAATTGGCTTTCTGTGTCCTACACATAATGCTGCTAAAATCTATGCAGTCTTTGACAACTCACTCTCCCTGCTTCTTTAAAACATACACTAGTGTGCTTGTTAACTACTTATCTGAGGAGGCAGAAGAGATATTGAAACAGATACCTGTGAAGAACCTGCGATCAATAAAGGGAAAATGCCAGAGAACTTCTCAGTAGACTCTGTGTTATCTTGAGAGGCTCTCATTCTCTAGGCAGATATTTGGTTTTGCACTGTTAAGCAAGGATGGGTGTGTTCTAGTGACCAAAGCTGCCTTTCAAAGTAAAGGGAAATGGATATTCAAATATCATAGCTTTAAAAAAGTAAAAATAAATAAAAAATCACAGCAGCAGCATCATCCACTCAGCCAGAGCCGAAAGGAGACCTGTACTTAGGAAGGATGCCAGGCAGTCCAGCGCCATTACCCAGCCAGCACTTCGTGCCTTTCAGTGCCATATCCCAAGTACTAGCAAGCAAGGTCTCCAACACCCACCTTGCACCCTCCTGCTCTCAGCCTTTTCTTTAATCCTTTTCTGCTGTGTAGGTGAAGCAGGAGCTGAAGGCCCAGGTGGATCTGTTCCATGAGCTAACAGGCCACCTACCTCCTCACATGGATGGACACCAGCACATTCACGTTCTCCCAAGTAAGCAAACACTCCTTTTCTTTCCAGCACTAAGCGGATGAGAAGCCCCACTCTTGCCATGGCTCCCTGGACAATAAACCTTATAGGATTTGTGTAAGGCTCTACAATTGCAATTGTGTTCCCATCTTGGACAAGTTAGCCTCTGAGATTGAAGATTGGGTGCTACAAAAGCTGTGCTGTTGGTTGTATTTCTATTCCAGTCTTTATCTGTGGGTTTCAGCTTGTTTTTCGTATGTATATTATAGGCAAGTACCAGTGTCTCAGTTTTCCAACTAAGATCATTGTTTGTATAGAGATGGAAAACTTGGCAAAAAAAAAAAAAATCAGTATTTCCCTGTGTTAACAATCAGCTGACTCAAGAACTATGGCAGGGACTTGGTGAAGAGTGTGTTCCCAACAGTACAGCCACCGCGGGTTTACTCCAGGACAAGGCTCCCAACCTCAGAAGAGGTTACTGGACTAAGCACTCAGTGCTGAAGGGGAGACAAGGCACATACAGCAGTTGTTGAACGAGTAATGCTTTCAGGTATTTCCACTTCAGAAGGGCGCTTTGATCCAGATGAGCAAAACCATTTCAGCAGAAAAGTCAAATGAGGTTTTATGTTTAAGACACTGAAGGAAAAATGTGTCTGTGCTAACAGCTTTCAGGGGATGTGAGTTGGTTATCTGATTCCTGACTAAAGTTTCTTTTTATTTACAGAGGTCAGGCACGTGTTTGCAGAAGTGTTAGAGGAATATGGGATTGAATACACTCGTGTCCCAATAGAGCCAGGCCTTCATAACTGTGACTGGATTGAGCCATCCCTGATGGACTTCTATGTGGGAGTAGAAGAAGATTCTCTGAAGACAGTGGATGTGTTTACAAAGCATGGAATAAGGTAAGACAGGCATTACTCCTTCTTTTTGGAGTAAAACTTTAAGATGTCTCAGTTCCTGATAAGATATTTTCAGAATGGAACAAGACCTCTTTCTCTTTCCAATCTGGGGCTTACAAGGGAATTCTGCAAGAGTACAGAAGCTCTGGAGACACTATGGGTTACTGTGCAGATTTGTTTGAGAGGAGATGATTCACTTTTCGTGTGAAATGGATTCTTCTCAGGGTGTTTCTCAACCTTTCATTCTCTTACCATTTCAGATGCCAGAGTAATGCCACTTGATTAGAAGCGTTAGATATGCTTCAAGCACTGGAACTTTAGTTGTAAGATTTAGGGAACGTTTTTGAAAGATAACTTTTTACATCCTTGAATTGTGAAGAGAAGGCTTTAAGTAGCAGGAAATAAGCTAATTAAGAATCACTATTCATTTTGTGGAAGCAAGAAGATCATAGGGCGTACAATGCCAGAGCAAGTGATCACTGCTTTAAAGCAAACAGTCTTGTCAGTGTCGTGTGAGTCATAATTTTACAGATGAACGACTCTTCAGCTGAGGTCCATGCACTCACCTGCCCTTGGATGATGTTACTTTTCCTTGCTTTCTCAATTGACTGAAGTATTGCCTTCTTGGCTTTTAGGTGAAGTTGTCTGTTGATATAAGCTGGATGGCAGTATCGCTTGCTGTCAACTAGCAGAAGGCCAGCATTTCACTGTGCCCTTTCTGTGCAGAGCACTCAGACTGTACTAGGACAGCCTATTACTGAGAAAGCAAAGGGCACAGCAACTCAGAGTGAGAAATTGGGAGAAATGAGCCAGGAGCAATGCAGGGGAATTTGATGGAAATTCCCCTCCAAGGATCTCTGTGCCACCCCAGGGACCATGTTTTGGTAGCGCAGGGGAACTACTGCTCCACGACGCTCTTACTGCCCTCAGGGTGGAACTCATATGGCTGCTAAGGGAGCTGTGCCTTTATACCTGTTGTGGCAACACCCCCACAAGTGGAAGTCTGTGGCTGTCTTTTGCATGGAAGTGCTGCAGTGGGCCAACGTTCCACCTCTTCTGCTGCTGCTGAGAGTGAGGAGGAATCGATTGCTACTAAACAAATGTGTAACTTTTACGTAGGCCTTTATTTTCCCTACTAAGTTAGTTGATAGCAGCATTTCTCAGTTACAGCTCTGTTTGTCCTTTCACTGCTAATAATGTGCACCTTTAAGCTCTCAGATGCCACACAATTCCAGTGCCGTGACAGCATACATTATCAGAGTAACAATATAAATGTTGGTATCTGAGCTATGCTGGGACTTTCTGCCAGACTGAAGAGCTGATGTTCTAAACAGTATCTTGATTTTGACAACGAATGAAAGAGCATTATTGGCTTGTAGTTACAGTTTTACTTTTGATTCCTGATCTACTGGACATGACACACTTTTGTCTAACTACCTCATTAACATTGATATCTGTGTTCCCACCTCTGGCTACAGGTGGCCAGACATTTACATAGGTTTGAGTACCATGGGCAAGAACATGTCTGTGAGTGCCATCCAGAATGCCATAGACACCGCCATTGTGGAGTTCACATCCAAGATGCCTGCACACCCAGTGCCACAGCGCAGGACGGTGACGATTGAACTGATGGTGCACCCAGGGTACCCAAGCGTCCCTCCCATCGGTGGCTGTGGGGAAGGACCGGATGATTTCTCACAGTCCTGGGAGCGCCTGCATGAACTCCAGACATTAATCAGGCCGGAGCTGCAGAGCCATTACAAAACAAGGAACATTCAGCTTTGTTCATTCAAGGATCTGTAAATATACATATTTGCATACCTGCGTTTGTACTTCAAGGGTACACAGTTGCTAATGTCCCCGTAAGCCGGACCACGTTCCCAGCCTTTGTAACACTTTGTGAGTCAGTCATATTCCATGTGAACCTTCAGCCTGAAAGTCCTTGTCCTGTTTGTTCATTTTAATTCCAGTCATGAAAGCATCTGAGCTGCAATGAGCCCCGTACATATTGCTGTGTTTAACTGCATTTTAAGATGTAGACGTGTTACTGACTTTCTGTGTGGCACTTTCTTCTTTCAGACTGTTGATGCTCATTTCCTGTGCAAAAGCAATCTACCTAACATCATTTTAAAGCGTTTTTTAAATACTAAAAAAAATTAATATTGCCATCTTTTCTAAGCAAAAAAATAGTCAAGTCTTTTTCTGTTGTAATGCAGTGTGAGCAGAAAGCACTCAGGTATCTGCTCCAGGCGCAAGGCCCTGCAGAGCTGGGAGGGCATCTTTGTGTCACTTTGGTCACTGGAGCTGTGTGATCCACCACTCCTGTGCACCTGAGGCAGTGTTTGCTCTGTACAAACACAAAAAATCATCAAGGACACTTGGTAAAATATTTTCTCAGGCTCTTTCCTAATTATCGTAACGGAGCTGATTTGACACGGGACAGTTTTTTTATCTTGCCACACTGTGCCCGTGCTGTGCAGAACAGCGGAGTCCTCCCAGGAGCAGTGTGAGCAGCGCCTTGGGTGCTGCAGTTCGCCTCACCGCCATCTGAGGGCGCAGTTTACGCGGTGTGGAAACAAAACGCGGAAGACCGCATCTTCAGAGCTGCGGAAGGTAACTGAGGTGCCAGAGCGCGGCTGGACGCGCGAGTGCCATCTGCTGCCCTGCCGCGTGCTGCAAAGACGGTGCGCCAATACTGCAGCTCCTTTTCCGCACTGTGACCGTGGTGTGATGGATAATTTAAACCTTAATCTAAACTTTTGAACTGCGCAACAATTGGTGACTTTGCGCTGTTCACAACCGTTGGGATGTAACTTAGCTCAGCTTGTATGATTTTCTTCTAGCTGAACGTGGAAATGAACACAACAGTCTTACCTGAGCAGAAGTTGTTAAGAAAGGCATTTTAGAAATACCTCATTGTCAGATGAGCAGAACTGAAACCCAATTTTTTAAATTGAAATGAGCTTTAAATGTGTAAATGAATACAGAGCTTCTGAAAGACTGGTAAGTAAGGAACCTTTCCCTTGCACGGAATGCATTGAGGAGGTTTCTCAGGGGCTCTTCACATTCACCACCGAGTTGAGACTGGAAGCACGCACAGGCTGCTGTGATGCACAACACTGTACACAGATAGCCGAGGTACAAACATGAAATCTCTTTGAAAATAAAACCATGCCACAATGCCTTTGAGAGCAATTTTTATTAGGGTAGCAGAATGGAATTGCAGAAAGCCTATACCAGTGTTCATGGGTGTAGTTGTTTTATTTTGGATTTTCAACTGCATGTTCAGAATTCAGCATGGCTTAGGGAACCAGAGAGCACAAGAGCTTGATTTCCTGAGTTAACAAAGGGTCTGATTTCTTTTTCCCCTCAGACTTCAACCACACAGTACAGTATTTGATCTTTATCTTCCTTTTAGAGGGCCACCTGCAAACAAAAGCCATCACTTATGTTACACACTTCATGATTAAAAACTGAGCTCTGAAACACACACAAAGAAAACTGATGGTAATGCTCATCTTCTGTGTGATCTTTACAAATGAAATGAGAACAGCTAGCATACAGCACTGCTATAGACCTCTACGAATCAGCTGAAGCTCCTTCAGTTACACAGCTCTTCCAGTTTCCTTACAATGGCATCCAAGCCACACTGAAATAAATGCAGTCTTTAACCTGAGAGGCTTACAACCAGAAAGTATACTGTTTAGTAGTAACGATGGCAGCAAACTAGTGCTACAGTCGTTTTAAATAATAAAAATAATGCAAATTTAAAGAACGTTTCAATTGTGAACAGACATGATCAAAAAGTACAGTGACTCGGCTGATGCGAAGTTACACACTTCAACAGATAATTTGGCATTATTTTATTACGAATCTGAGTGAGCGTGAAGGAAACAAAATCAGTACCAACTTTCTGCAACCAAAGACACAAAGATGTGATAAATTTGGTAATAGTGCTCTCACAAGCCAGGAAACACTTAGGGAAGGTAAGTTTCCGTAAATAAGGTGAATGTGGTTTAACTTCATTTACCTGCCAAAGAATCCATCTAAGAACACTTAACATGAAATTTCTTAGCTCCCTAACTAATAAAAAAAAAAATTACTTTCAGCAGAGGTGAGGTACTGGGCTGTCATTGTTCACTAAATCCAAAATAAAAGCCAGATGAGAAGGGCAAATGAAGGAATAGCAAATATACATTAAAAACCAATAGACCTACAGCTTGATGCACTACTTCTGCAAGGTTGCAAAGGTAGAGGCTGTATTAAAAGTGACTCTAGGAGTATAGACAACCATCCAGATGTGAGGGATTTTCTAATTCAAGTTCTTGCAAATCAAAGTGATATGTACTCCCAGCTACCTATGGATTTCTGGAAGTCTGTTTACTCAGTAACATACTCAGGTTCTACAGGTGGAGAAGGCAGTTTGATTGTATGGCAGTTTGATTGGAGCTACAATCACACTTCAGACTTAGGACACACAGGCAGAAGAAAAGCAATAGAGACACAGTAAAGGTGCCCAACTCCAAATAGAAAGGGCAACCTTCAGCATGCGTGGGTGTGCCTGGAGCAAAGGGAAAACAGCTCTGCCCAAGTCAGAATGATAACTTGAAGTAGTCATTAGATAACCTAACGTGTACTTTTAAAACGTAGGAACAGTAGCAGTGAAGTGTATTCAGTTTATTGCTTAATCCTACTCTCGTACTATTTTCAGTAATAACTGTACAGCAACTGGGAAGGAAGTGGCGTGAGTGCCATTCCCTAGCACATGTATCATCTGCATTTGGATGAAAGAAAATCTCACTAGCAGTGCTAACATTCAGTATTTGAAATCAATTCATTCCTAAAATACCCACTTTTTCACTCAATACCAGTTTATTATTTCGGTGTATCTCTTGGTCCTCAATTTCTGAAACTTCTAAACTGGTCGCACTGTTGTTCTGTGCACATTATCCAAGCTAACTTACACTAACTTTTATTAAGAATAAAAGTGAAAGGAGTTTGGAATCACATTTTACTACTACTTTTTTTTCCCAGCATTTTCCAAAAGCAGGACATAAGCCATATTCTAATTCAATAACGCAGACAAGAAATTGGATTTCCCCATTTAATAAACATTTTGTGGTAACATCAGCCAGATTTACATAAGACCTGGACATTTCTGATTGTAGTTGGGTTTTTTTTTTTTATTACGTTACAAACTGAAGTTAGGGGAACTTGCAGCAAGTCCCACAGAGCACAGTGCAATGTTTTGAAGAGAAGAGTAAACAAAACTGCCAAACACTCAATCATTTTCTGCCAGAAGTGGGAGATTTTTTCTAAGACATCAGTTTGAGGAGGAGCAAAAATTCAATGCTGAATTAAATGAACTCAGGATAGTGGTAACTGCAAGGAGAAGTAAGAAATGACAGCCACAACCTTTTCAATTCAAGGGCAGAATATAAGTCTAAGATATTTTTGATAAATTCTGACAAAAAAAAAAAAAAAAAGAAAACAGCATACTTTAAAGTATATTGAAGCAGTGATTTTTAAACAAAGAAAGCAGAACTAGAACATCTTAAATTTTTAATTCTTCCTTTACAGGTTACCTAGCCCACTTTTGATTAAGAAAACTGTAGAAAGTTAGTAACAGCCACAAGTTAACACCAAAAGGTGGCACTTGTCAATTTTCCATAGAGTCCTGCTTTACGGGATGTCTCAAATGCACTGCTCCGATCTTCTATCATACGTTGCTGACATCAGCTGTGTCAGATTTTAGTCCACTGGTCGCTTTTCACCATATTTCTTTGTAAACTCTTCAGCATTCTTACAGAATTTTTTACGGTCCTTAGAGTATTCTTCAGCTAGGTCAGCCCGCAGGGGGTGCTCAGGCTGTGGATCATTCACCAGTGCTATGAGGGACTGGATTACTGTCAAAAGAAGTAAGAACACTGTCAGAAACTAAGACTGTTAATTTAAAGGGGGAAAAAAAAAAAAGATAGAACAAGATGTAAGAAAATAACTTAAACTGCATTTAAGTATATCCTAATAAATCTTGTTTCTTTTCAAGAGCAGAGTAAGATACCACATCAGTAAGCTACAGTAATATGCCAACGTGTAGTTCAGTGACAGCAAATACATCAGGAAATCACATCTGTGAACAGAACCAACTGCCTGTGAGCAAAGACCAAAATGCACAGCACAGTATTTTCCCAAGCACTGAGCATCCTGCCTCCTTATGGCTGAGCAAGGAGTTTTACAGAAGCTTCACCTCTAATGCATCAAGTGAAGAGGGCCCCAGAATTTCTGTCACAGAACATTTTTCCCTAATACCTCTCACAATAAATTAAGCAATTCAGTTGTAATTGGATCTACTTTTGGAAACCATTTTTTTCAGCTTTATTTTTCTGCGACTTACTTCCCCTATAAGTAGGGAACAACTCTTGACATTATTCTGAACTACCAAATATGCTTTCTAGTATAGATATACTAGGCAACACAGTAAGAACTGCAAGGTGCTTTTCATACCACTGTTCACAGCTGCGTGGCAACTGCTGAGTCACAGGCTGAAGCACAGATTGAGCACCTGGGGACAGGACCCAGCCAGCCCTGGGAGCACAGGTGAAGGCAATTCAGCTGTGGGACAGGAAGGCGTGCAGCCTGGCTGCACCTCTCTTAGCATTTAAGGGCTGAGTGCTGCTGGGGGAGGGTCTCTGCTTGGAGATCCCTCCTTTGTGGAGGCTTTCCTGTGAACTGAAATCTTCAGAGATGGGTGAGCATCTTTTCCTTTGAAATACCATCCTATCTGTGCTGGTCCCTTTGCTGTTACGCTCCCGTATCTCCTTCCCACTGCACTGATCTTTCTGTAACAATAGCCATTTAATCAGCATTCCCACGCCACTTTCAAGAGAAATCAGGCTCACAAGTGTACTTTGCATTTACATAGCAAGTCCTGTGTGCTACCATGAAACTTACTGCTGCTTTTTCCTTATATACATTCTTATCACCAGTAGTGGTACCTGGGTTACAATCGTCATGAGTTCTCAAATCCATCAACTGAAGTTTATACACAACTCAGCAAGTCTACAGACAGTGAAAACACCAAGATGCATTTCCCTGAGCAGCAGTGTTAACAGCTTTCTACTTGAGGTAATGGACTCCAGACTAATATAAAGCAGCACCCTACAGTTTTCCGAAACAAGAATACCAAACTGCTAACTTTGTGCCAAAACTACAGCCAGCGGCCTCCTGAACTCACACAAAATGCTGGCAGCCACAACAGAGCGTGAGAAGTCAGGGTTTGTTTTCAGTCTGCCACCTCCCAGTTTAACTGGATTCTCCCTAGTTTTGCAGTGTGCTTACAATGCTTATCACCCTGGAAGATGCCAAGTATCACGGGAGCTTGTTTCAGAGCACAGCCTTCTCACTTTTCTACCTTTACCTGAAAGGGATGGGGGCCAAGTAGGAACATTTCCTACCACGGACCTTCAAACTTTAACAAACTAATACAGCATGTAACAATGCCTTTTCACTCAGTAAAGCCTCTTTATGTACAGTAATAAATATTTAACATCAAGTTTATCATTACCTGCCAGAAAATGTGAAAATTTCACGAAAAATTTCACATTGCTCCTAACTAATGGAGCAACGAGAGGCAAGACTTATCACACTCTCAAGTCTGGCAGAGAACCTAATGAGACTTCCTTACAATACTTACAATAATTTTTATCCAAAGACACTCCACACAGTAAGCCTCACAGCAGTGATCTTTTAATAGCTAAAAGTTAATCTGTGTCATGAGTTTGTTTTTTCTTTAAGCAAACAAGCCAAACATGTATGTAGTTACTGTTTAAAAAGAAACATATAGTAACACCATTTTTTTTCTTTTCTTTTCCATTTGGGATTTAAATACACCAAGGACACAACCTTAACGAACTCTTCAGCCATTAAGAGTTGGTTTCCTGAAGGTGGAAATGCCACAAGTCAGTGTCATTACTTTATGTTCTAATAACAAAATGACATTCCAGAAGAGCTGCATGCTTTACTCACAATATGTATTCATGAGGCAAACCTTAGGAAAATGGATAAAGCAGAAAAGCAGGTTGACAAGCGAAAATACTGTTTGCTTCAAACACACAATGCAAAGTCTCTTAATACCCTTTTTTCCTCCACAAGGAGTCCTACCTTGGTCAGTTTTGGTTGCTGGCTTCCAGTTTTCAGCACTAATTACTGGCAGACAAACCTGCCCCTTTTCGTCGATGTTAGGGTGATAGATCTTTGTTTTAAATGTAATCTTAGGAGGTTTGAATGGATATTCTGCTGGAAAGTTGATTTCGATTCTGAAGGCTCCTTTATCATAAGGAGGATTGTCCTGCAATGAGACGACAGAACATAAACAGTCCAGCATTCTATAACACGTGAACTTTAAGTAAAAGCACGTTCAGACTTCGTCTACTAAACGACCTCTTTTCAAGGCACTTTTTCCAAACACATTCCTACATTTATGAACATCAAAACTAATGCGGTAGCAAAGAGGCAATACAACCTCCATCACCTTTGTGCATCAGCATGAGAAAGGCAGACTACCACTGTTCTGAAGCTGGCTGATATTCCTGCTAGTAGGAAAGCAACCAATCCCATTTACTCCATGCTCAGAGATCTAACAAGTATTTTTATTCCCACATTTATAAGTATTTTGAAATACACTGTAAACCCTTTCTGATACACAAACAGGAAACCTCACGAGGATATTGGTTTCCCTAAAGCTGCCTGTTTTGTATCTCACACAACATGGTGGTTCAAACAGCAAAGCAGTTTGATTTGTCACATTCCCATAAGCATTCTGAGAACCCTTTTGTGCTGACTGCATAAAAACCTGCTGAGCATTAATTCGTACTAAAGATAGATATCCACTGCATCTGCTGATGAGAACATTCTGAATTCGTATGCAGTTTTAGCACCCACTGCTATCAGATCAGTTTTGATGGAGTACAATGAGAGAACTGTGAAGTAGGCAAAGATTTTCAAATACTGCTACTATTTCAAATGCTAACTGCTGAAGAAAGGCAGGAAAAAAGCTCCTGCTATGTTTAAAGATGATGAAAATGACATTCTATAAGCAGTAATAACCAGGACACCAAGCCTTCCCAAATACTTGAAGAATTCGTGTTCCCAGTTTGCGTTAAGTACAATTATTCTGCATTACCTATCGGGCCATTTCCTTAATTCAGTTCCACTCCAGAAGTTAAAAAGCTTTTACAAATACTTGGGGTTGGCGAGCACTCTATTAAGATGCTATTCAACACATAACATTCCATTTTGTTTTGGTTGCAGCTTCTAAGAAGTGACACACGATTTTTTGAGTCAAGGGAAGAAGTAACTCGAGTAGCTGAAGACCACTTTTTACCTGAGCAACCCTAAAAGCTTTTCAAGTTTAACAAATAACTTTCTGGCTGTAGTGGCAATTTACATTAATGCCCTCTTCTCACACAGTCTGCTTTGTTCTTACCTCCATCACCTGCTAGAACATGGGAGGACGTTCAGGAAAATGCTACAGGATCAGAACCGGCTTAAGAATGCTCATTTCCTGCTTGACTCTCAGTCAGAACAGTTTTTCACCATAACTCGCCAATAAATTTTAACTAAACATGTATGTAAAGCAGTTTCTCATCTTTTCAAGAGACAGAACACAGAATATTCAAGAAGTTCATTTCCAGCAATTTGTTACACTTATTCTTCTACTGACAAGGTAGACAGTCCAAATTATAAATGCTGAAATAGATATCTAACACTTGACTTGCATTCACCTGATGGATTTTTACTCTGCACAAGTTTATCAGAAGCATTTGCTATGGACAAAGTGAAATAAAATTCAGTGTAACCCAGCAGCACCTTTTACTACAGCCAGGAGCCTCATACTGGCATTCAAAAAAAAATCAGACAGTGCTTTTTCAATGTACAGAACTTCAGCTATACCCTACTGTGCAATTTAGAACAGGAAAACTTGAGAAATCACCTTCAACAGGCTTCTCAATTGAACTAACACTACAAACAAAACGCGATGTATACAGGTTCTTATAGCACTACTGCACAAACACTGTCAAAATACTAACCTTCGTATCTTTAATATTTGAATTAAAAAGCAAACCAAAATACTGCCTAGTTACAGAGTTTAATAATCAGTAACTGATTACTCTACTAATGACAGTACTTGTATCTCAAACCCTCAGCAAGAACAAAACTGGGAACAGCATGTAAAACTTCAAAAGAAAAAACTTGGGAAAAAACCTAAAAACCACCACTACAACCAAAACCAGCACACCTCACTTGTATCCAGTTTATATTTGATATTTTGAAGCCTTCTATCCCAGCCAAAAAAAAAAAAAAAAAGCAAATTATGCTTCAGCATAAGCATCTTTTATAGCATTTCCTCAAAACTAATCTATACTACTCTTCAAAACAGCTATGACACAGATATTAATTGCTCTAATAAGCATAGATTTCATAACAAAATTCCCTCTTGGCCTTGAATCCTTATTGGTGTAACATTTCGCTTGCAATAAATAGATGTTATACCCTACATACTTCTAACTTTAGCAGCAGCAAACATTCTGGTGCTTTGCTTTATTAGCCATGTTTACCACCCAAACACCACTTCGAAGCACTGCCAAAATGCTAACCTGGCACACATGAACCAGGCCAATTGGAGTGGCTTGCAAAGCACTGTTTCTCAGTCATGTAGAATTTTAGCACCAAATCCTGCTTACTGTATTAGGAAGAGTAAACTCAACCACGAGGGAATTGCTCATAGAATGAGAGTAAATTAAATCTGTTCTACAGCACCTCAAGATCAAAGGCCTCACAAAGATCTTAGCAGAGATGACACGACCCAAGTTTGTGAACGGCCTTCAGCTGTGAAAGTGAAGGCAGTGCCAAAATAACACTTCAGTTTCTTCTGAAATAGTTTACATTGGTCAGGAGACCTTTTAGGTAGCACCAAGGAAAAGCAGCAGCAAAGAGCCATACTTAAAAGTAGCTGATGTAATAAATGAATGTGAGCCGCAGCAGGTCAAAATAAAGCAAGGTGAAAATCCATGCAACCAAGGAATTTAACATACTAAGATTCCTGCTATCCCCTCCCTAACAAGTCCCTCTCTATTTGACTAATACAGTTGCTATCTACTTCTATTATTATTCTAATACTACTAATAGAAGAATTCTACTCCTGCTTTTAAACAGCAGCATTAGTGTTTTTGGAAGCAATTAATGCCTAAGGACTTTCTTTTAAAGAGCTCACTTGTAAGAATCTAAACCTTTTCCCTGCAGACTTTTTCCAACACTTAATTTTTTCCCTAGAAATGAATACAGTAATTTACAAACAAGCACCCCAAACTAACAAAAACCACAAGAAAACCACACACAAATCTACTGAGGACTAAATACAGTAAACTCAGGCATTCTCCTATGATGATGTAAATCTTATACTTTCAGCTTGAGATAACAAACTACACAGCTCACCTGCTTCCCCTTTCCAGGACCTTTCCCAAGCAACCCAGCGCCATCGCCGGCTCTGCAGCCTTTGCAGGGCTGGATCAGACCCACAGTTACCCAGCGTTCAGCCAACTATTCATCAGTTGTCCAGAGCCCCTATCAATTACGTATAGATTTTTCTTCACACTACTTACAACAAACATCACTACTAACGTTACTACCACTTACTACTACCAACATCATCAGGCACTAATAAAACCACACAAGACATTCACACGAAGTGAAAAGACAGATCACAATGTTTGTCTTGAGACTATACGAGAAGTCTGAAGAGGGCCAAGAATTAAATCCATTGGCACCCTTCACTGCCCAGGAAACAACAACTCTGAAAGCCAGCTTCCCTACAATGAAGAAATCTTGCCAGTGTATCTAATGGTCTATCTAATGGTCACTAACAGCAATGCAAAACTGGGGATTTACGGTAAAAAAATGATCATGTTTTAAAGCTCATTAAAATAAAGAGCATTTCATACTCACAGGAACAATAAGCCCTTGCCAGGTCAATAAATTAGCTTCATCAACCTGGATATTACGAAAGTTTTTCATTCCACATTTGCGGATTTCTTCAAGCTCCTGGAAAAGAAGCAGAGGAAGTCAGCAGTTAATATGATGTGAGGCACAACGCTCAGCTCTGTTTCAGCAAAACGCCTGGAGGTCAGCGTGAGCTCCTCTGAGACTAAAGGAGCCTGAGGCTTCAGTGGCAGCGACCCACAGAAAACAAAGCGCTGTCCCTGTGAGAAGTAAAATTCTGAGACAAGTTGCTCATAAAGGGTCAACCACCAGTAAAATCTTTTCTCGGCTTCGGTGATGCCTACGTCTCTAACAAGTATGTAAGCTATTTTCATATTAAAATGACTATAAGCCCAACTGCAGCAGCTGTTTCCCTGAGTATTTATTTCATCAGAAAGCTGTAAGACCAAAAATAGCAAAAGGCTCCACCTATTCCCACAATAATGACAGTCCTTCAAGAGTTTTATCTGCACAGACAGCGTAACTGAACTCAAATTAAGCCTCCTGACACGAAATGTAAAACTTTCCCTGTGGTTCCAAGTGTGAAGCACATGACAGCAGCCCACACACACTGGGAAAAAGCACTGCTGAGGTGCATGCTGCCAGCACACAGACCTCCACTGCAGACAACCACATCTGCAAACCCAGGCAGGATATTACGATTAAACACCAACTGCCAGCACAGGAACCACAACGCACAGAGCATTAGAGGTGCTGAGTGCTGAAGGCACGGGGAACCTGCTTGGAAAGCACCAGGGCAGTTCATGCCCCTCCTGCAGCTGTTCTAAGGGAGCTCCCCGCACACAGAACTGCCACATCCAAAAGCAAACTGTCCCACAAGGGATAAATCCCATTCCACACCAGATGCAGCGCACCGGTCACCAGGAACAAACCAGACTAAGTTTACCACTATGTAGTTAAGCATGAATAAACATGCAACACAGATACCTTGCCTCTAAAACAGGAAAAGAAAAAAAACCCAAGTTCAGTGTTTTAAGTATACTGACTGGAAAATTACTATTATTAAACTCATAAAAAGATAGAATGGCTTTGCATTAATGGTAAATGAAATATCTGTATTTCATAAGTAGATTCAGGTTAAAAAGTGAATGATTACTTAAGAAATGCAATCAAGCAGGGCACAGATCATTATAAAATTGTAATAAGAATTGCACAAAAGGAAAAAATCCAAGCTAATAAACAAGTTGTTCCCTATTTTTTTTTTTGTCAAGTCCATCACATGGGAGAGGGAATTAAAGAGCCTGGAAGACAACACAGGAAAGAGCCAGCAGAAACCCTGTTCATCTTTCAAAATGACACGTGGAACGACTGTGGAATTCACTCTCATAGAGAAGCAGCAAGTGACTGCAGTGTGCCAGGCCCAGATTCTGTGCCTCCTGCCCTGCTGCCTTGGGTCCTGCAGGAGTAACAATAACCAAGAAGGGAGCGGAGGATAAAGCAGGCAGTCCTTTTCCTCACCTGGAGACATGACCCACCTGAAAAACTTGCTTAAGAAAGGTGCCAATTTATCCTAGCAGGGGCTTTTCTTACCCTAGAAGCATATTTGCAATGTATTACTCTTATTTCTAATTCATATTTTTAGTGTTTTTATGTTTAATTCATCAGAAGTGACAGGAGATTAAGAACTCAGGATTAAAAAGGGGTGGGAACTCGCAATAAAGACCTAAACGGTCTCAGAACTACAGAAGCAGACAACTCAAGGATATAGGCACAGTTAGAAGAAGTGAACGAACTTCCAAACGTCACCAAACAGCATTAGATTAGAAGTTAATGCTTCAGTGCTGAGAGCTAATCTTAGAGGGTCAAAAATTACTGTATGGGGTATAAGAATACAGTCCGGATATTTATTTTAAAATAAATCCTAATAGTCCAGGCAGGCAGTGAATAGAGTAATTCCTCTTCTCTCCTCCACCCCTTTGTCAAGCAACATCATTAAAGGCACACAGAAGCAGCCTAACCAAAGGTTCGAATGCTGCAGAAGTTTAAGTCATCTTTAACTTCCCACAGCCTGGCCGCTTTGCTCCCCACTTATTACAGACAACACGCTCTGCGCAGCACGTGGGAAGGAGAAAGTTGTTCCGGGGTAACCTCAGCCTTGGGGAAGAGCAGCAGGCCTGGATGCATACGCTACCTTTCTCGTACATAAACAATACATAAAGTTTCAGTTTTTTGCTTTGAACAGCACAAATGATTGTATTCATTGTGAATTCAAATGATTGAAATAGAAAATGAAGTGACATCACCTTAAAATCATAGAATGCCTTGGGTTGGAAGAGACCCTAAAGATCATTGAGTAAAATGTACCCGCCTTTTAGAAGAAAGCTGGAATACCAGATTCACACCTAGAGCCATAGATTACAACAATTTTTAGAACTCCTACTCCTCAAAATTCACTGAAGGCTTAAAAAAAAAAAAAAAAAAAAAAAAAACACCAAACAAAAAAACCCACAACCAACCAACCAAGCCACCAAACCACCAACCACTAGGCGTCCAGCACAGCCCTGGAACTGTTTTGCTTACGCATCTTTGAAGTTTGGGGGCTTGGCTAAAAAGAAACAAAACGGATAGTAAGATTCAGTGGAGACTGAAACGGTTAAGTTTATCGACTGCAAGAAGCTCTGCATTAAGCTGCAGATGCTATTAAATTCATAAATGAAAACAAAGGTCTACCGAAATGACTGCACACTTTGCTTACCTAACATTTACAATTTATCTGTTTGTGCATTACCTAAAAGATGTGTGACAAAGCTAAATAGGCTCCAAGACACCGATAAGGAGCTCCAACTTGACTTTTGAATCTTATGTACTGCTGAGAAATGTTAAAAACAAAGAAACAAAACAAACAAAACCAAAAAAGAAAACAAACCAGATTCCAGCTCATTTAGGAGCTGTTACAGAGTTTCTGAAACCAAGAGGCTGCGATACTGCACTTCCATATGCTCACAAGCTTTTATCGAGTAATTTTACTTTTTGGCAAAATGTTTACATCTGGTTTTCACTCATAAGTGTTCTCTTAAAGTTTTGATTATAAACCTTTTTCTCAATTTTCATTTTTGAAGAAAGAATCAGCTCTCACTCGCATGCAAACAACCACGTATGGCACGAGGCCTTCCACCCCTCATTAAGGAGAAGCTTGGACACACAGAGTTGTTTGTAGCACCTTTCCTGGGGACAGTCTTGCCGTTCAGGAGATTGCAGCACTCTGCAGGCCACATGCAGCAGGGCAGCCCTGGGTTTCATCACTGAGTTCAACGGTGGCACACGTCTGACTATGTGATCATGGAGGCAGACTGAAAACAGAGATTTGAAGAATCGCTACCTACTCTTTAAATCTATTTTCAATTCTTACCGCTATAAATCCTCGTAACACCTAAAAGCCAGGAAGCGAAAGCACAGACGTCAGCTCAATCACACTGCAGATGAGCGCTGGAAGAAGGAGCTGCAGACCCAGGGCAGCTCAGTACCACTGCGATGAGTGCTGCCTGTGCCCGAGTACCACACACTGCTGACGCCAAGCGGTGACGGCTCAGCAACAAGAGCCTCCCCCTTTGCAGCTATGCACTGCCTCCCCTCAGATCACTCAACTCCAGAAAAGAGCCTGTTTCATGTTAGTGAGTGGAAATTGCAAGCCCTTCAGTGAAATCTCTCACATGTCTCCTGCAGATGCACTGCGTGTGTTTGGGGAAAATGCGCTTCTCACAAGAAACAGTCATGAAGCAAAGCAGCCCCCCAAAAGCAAAGAACGAGCTGCTTTCTTAAGTTGAACTGTGCTGCGTTTGCCAGGTTCTCAGTCCCATCCTACAAGGGAAAACCCATAACGACACACCCTTGGTGCAGGCTGCCTTATTCCCACCTCTCATATTCCACAAACAGTGGCGATCTGTCAGCTGCGGCTCTTTGAAGAGGTGCAATGGTGGCTCAGAGATCAAAACTCCACCTCAAATGCTGCTGGAGCACAATTCATTAGCTAAGAATGTTTCACATTTTTACTAACCTGGGTGCGCTCGCAGAAAGACTTGAACAAACAGAAAACAGTTAGACCAGACCATCACATAAAGCCCTGCTAAGAGAGGACATAAATTAGGGCCTTGGCCTAAGACAGGCCACTTGCACACAGTGTGCAGTAACAAGGCAATCTTATGCACATTATAACCTGACTTAAATGTTAAAACGAACTGTAAGACAGCAAAATTTCAGTGCTTCTTTCACAAGGAGGTTTGCAAATTGAAGAGTCCATAATCTGAAGAGGAAACCCACTTCCACCTGAAAGGTGGCAACTACAATAACACTCCCGTCTGCCTGTGGGCAGGCTGCATGTTATTATGAATCAACTTCACCAGTCTCTGTGGCATCGTGACTCATGAGTGACTGATGTGTGACACGTATTCAGGAAAGATTACAGCACTTCAAAATGTTGGCAAGATCTCACGGAAATGGAAATGCCTTTATTTTATGCGACCTATAAAAGATTCATTCTCAGCTACGAAAGACAAAGTTGATGTTTAGCCCCCCCAGAAAAAGAGAACTAATTGAGTTGGAAGAGACCAACCCAATTAATGCTTACTGTACCTTATTATTAGTATTGGTTTTTTGTTTTGGGTTTTTTTTTGTTTGTTTGTTTGTTTTTGGTTTTTTTTTTTTGGATATTCAGTGACACATGGAATCACCCATCATCCTATGGTCCTGAGTTTGGAATCCCACAGGCTCTTTCATAGTGCAAAATTCTGAAAGTGAAAGACTTGAGATCAGCAAATTTCCACTTTATAACCTAAACAACAGTATCAGGCTGGTATATGTGAGTTATAAGAGCTCCAGTCCGTTCCTATCCAGATGAATAGCAAACTTAGAGCACAACAGGCTGATCTGATGCCACAAAAGGAACAAATGAAGCTGCTTGTTGAACAGCCTGTACAAGTTATGCGATAAAGCATCTCGCAGCTGTTGGAGTGGCATAAAAAAAAAGCACATGACACACACAGTCCATAAACAGAAGGCAATAAAAATGAAAGTAAAAACGTAAGAGGGAAGTTATCAATGTCTCCTTCCTTCCTACACCGCTCCCTCTGAAAAGAAACTGCCACTGTTTTTCTAGAAAAGGTCACATCGTCAAAACCATTTCGATGGCATTTCAGTGAAAGACCAAGGCACTACGTGATGCTTTAGGAGCACCGGGGACTGCGTGAGGGGCTGAGAAGCACAAGGGCTCTGTAAATTTAAGGACAAACTTTCTTGCCTCTCATATTTTCATGTTCTGTACTAAATACTTTGACATTGAGTTAGATATTTTTCCTCTAAGAAAAAAATATTGATGTGCTTTTGAACAACAGAGCAGGCATTAAAGCTGCCTTGCAAGAAGCTACACCTATCCTATCTGAAACAAAGAACCTAATTCAAATACAAAGCTGCAGATATGCTGATGGCTCTCAAACTATGACCAAAAAATAACAGCTATCAGAAATGAAATAAAAACCAAGCGCCACTTCCTCAGAAGCCTTCAGGAGAACCAAGGCCTTACACCTGCTGATCTAATACATATCTGAATGACTCCGCACATATTATATTTACTACTTAATTTTTGATGCCTACATGGCACAGTTAAGGTGACAAAATGAGTCTTGTGAAAGCAATGCTGATCTATGGGTTTCCTCAAAAGCGACTGCTCACGCGCACACAGATGTGATCAGCCATGGAAACGTAACCTCGAACAACCTACAGCCCCCAGCAGAACCCTAACCCTCCAGGGCTCACAGCCTTAAGGGCACCTCTAAATCTGCTACTGAAGGAGAAGTTTAGCAGCATTGTTATGTACCAATTTTCACCACAAACAGTATTTTACAGTAAAGACGCTCTCTTCGTGGAAACTCACGCTCAAGGCTGTCCGCACATAAGAATCTCCCTCCTCGTCAGCATATCGCAGTGAAGACAAATCCATCACCACGCCCGGAGCGAGCGAGGCAACTTCTGAACCCGGGTCCACGCTTCACCTCGATAAGCCTCTGACTCACGCGGGCGCGGCGGTCCCCCCACCAAACTGCGGCGCCGAGACCCCCCCCCCCCCAGCGGGGCCAGCGGAACCCCCCGGCCGAGGGGCGGAGAGGGCACGGGACGCCCCCGCGCTCCCTGCCCGGCCGAGCGCGGCCCGCTGGGAGGGCCCGGCCGTCACACCGCGCCGGGGATGGGCCGGGCGCGGGGCGTCCCGGCCGCGCCGTTTCCTTCCCCCTCGGCCCTTCCTCTTTGCTTAGTCACCGCGGGAGCCCCCCGAGGGAGGGGGCCGGCCCGCTCCGCACGGCCTCGCGGCACTCTCCGAACCCCTCCCGGGCCGCCCCTGGCGGCGAGCGGCGGCCGAGGCGAGACGCCCGAGCGCGGCGCGGGGCCGAGGCGGCGGCGCGGCCCCTCACGGCCGAGGCCCAAGCGCCGACCGCTCCCGCCCGGCCGCCCCGGGCCGGTGACGGGAAGGGGCCCCTCAAGCGGCCCGCGGCAGGGAGAGGCGAGGAGCCCGGTCTCATAGGAGCGCCGAGGGCGAGGGAGAGGCGGGGGCCGCCCGTCCCGCGGCCCTTCCCGACGCGGCGCCGCTGTTACCTTCATCAGCCTCCTGCTGGCCGCCATCTTGGCTCTGCTACCGCCGCCCCACAATGCATGGCGGCGGGCAGGGCGCTCGGCGCCGCGCTTCCTGCGGCGGGCGGGACGGAGGGCGGGTCGAGCGCGGGGCTTCGCCCATTGTCCGGGCGCGAGCCGGGCCGTGCGTTCTCGGAGCGCACCCGGGAGAAGAAAGAGCGGACGGCTGCCGGCTGGCCCCAGCTGTGCCTTCAGGTCTGCTGCTCGCCGGGCTCCGGTCCCCGCCGGCGGTCCGTCGCGGTAGCCGGGTGCTTCACGCAGGGCCGGCGACTAGAATCCTGTGGTCTTCGGCTGCCGCTTCGCATCTGAAACGCCGTTCTGGGCCGCCGGAATCGCTCCCTGCGCCGTTCGCCGCTGTCCTCGCTGAGGTGGCGCTGCTCCGCAGCAAAGTTACTGCTATCATCCGAAGAAGCTCTGTGCTTTAAAATAGGCCTTACGGACACGGACATCATGAAAAAGCAAAGTAAATGTGAAATACATAAAGTACTATAAGAGGCTCTCAAAAACTTGCGGGGATGCAACGGAAGTGATCGGTTCTGAAGAACAAGGATTACAGTACCCATTAGGATCATCCTGTAGCAACGGGACAGATCTGCGTGACGGGAAAGGTGTTTCACCAGAGGCGAACAGCAGAAGGACCAGCATGACAGAAAGGGACTATAAATAAGGAAAAGGAAGAAGATATTGCTCACCTGTATCAGGAGATTCCAGGTTCAGAGGAAAAGCTTCACCAAGGAGGGATCTCCAAGCAGAGACCCTTCCCCAGCGGCACTCAGCCCTTAAATGCTGTCTAAGAGAGGTGCAGCCAGGCTGCACGCCTTCCTGTCCCACAGCTGAATTGCCTTCACCTGTGCTCCCAGGGCTGATTGGGTCCTGTCCCCAGGTGCTCAATCAGTGCTTCAGGCCGTGACTCAACAGTTAGCTGCAACTCCCCGAACAGCTATTTGATAATCAAGATTTTACATCTACAATAATGTTTATTGCTCCAAATCTCAACATTTGTTAAGAAGTATACAGCATACATAGAAGCCAGCTTAATGCTCACCTCTTCACACAGGTGTTGTGAAACTGTAAACATCTTTCAGGCTGTATCATCATAACTATTTAGAGTTATGATCTTATGCTATCATCCTGATAGCAGGAGAGGTCTAACATACGCAGTGTGTGGCAGATGGGGGGCTCCACATGTCAATCAGATGCACATAGTGTGAGAATAGGAGTGGCAGAGGCTGAGGACTTGTGATGTGACACTGGTGCTGAAGAACTGACATTGGCTAAGAGGGCTATTTCAGATTACATGCTGCTCAAGTTCAGAAATACTTATGTCTGAGACCATGGTGACTTGGAAGAACAGCTCTTTAAGATTATTTTACGGATATCCACAGATGTGAAAAATGAGCTGCTTCAGCTATTATCTGTATTTATGTATTTGTCAGAATTCTGTCCACGTTTTCATCTCATCTTTATTCAGCTGTATAGTTCTCCAGGACCATCACGTCTCAGAGAACTCATTCAGGCTCTCACCCATATCTGCACTGAGTTATACACAAAAGGCAGTACTAAAAGAGCTGCAGAGAAATCTGAATTACTATCTGTAATTTTAATCCATGGTTTTTATAGCTTGTAAGAGAATGTCAGAAGTACCTGGGATAATTACTAAGATAATCTACACTTCCTTCGACAAGAAAAAACACCACCCACACTAACTAACAATAGCCCAGCCAGCTCTTAAGAAATCACTGCTGGGTGCAGCTGTCCTCACAAGTTACCACCTGATGCTGACATCCTCTCTTAATGCAAGGTGTTGAAGGAAGTCGACACAATTGCACGCAGCTCACATACCTGCTGCCAGCACTGATGAGCAATGCCTTCTTTGTTGGCAAGGGTTGTGCAGCCACAGTCGCACTACTGCATTTCTCCTGGATATAATTCACTGGTAGTAATGAAATGCTGTCTGATATTAAAGCAAAAAGAATTTACTTTCAGACAGAATTTCAATTATAACTCTTACCTCCCTGTTAGTGACAGGGCTAGTGACGGCTGCTAGTTATACAAAGTTTTGCAGACCTTTCTGCATTTGTGAAATTTTTTGTTGTTGTTTCCAGGTCGCACCCATTATTTTTTCTGGCAGTGGACAGCATCCAAAATACATGTTTTGGTGTCTATTCTGCAGGGCTCGCCAGTCCCTTGAAGACATCACGTCTATGCCTGCTCTCTTCCAAAGATCATTTTCTATCACCATTTTAGGACCATAACTGTTCAAAAAAAGAAAAAAAGCCTAAACAAACTTTCCAAACATGTGAATAACAAAATAGCCTGACCCTTGGAAACTTAAAACAAACAAATAAATAAATAATCTCTGTGTATAACTTGTGTCATGAAATGGACTCTCAACAATCAGAAAGATCAACGCAGTGAAGTGGTGATACAGGAGGTGACACGACAAAGGGACTAGCACGATGGAAGGGTGTTACAAAGAAGAAAGGAAAGCGCTCACTCATCTCCCAAGATCTTGTCTCACAGGGAAAACTCCACAAGGGAGGGATATCTAAGCAGAGAGCCTTCCCCAGTGGCAGTCAGTCCTCAAATGAGGTCTACGAGAGGTGCAGCCAGGCTCTACCCCTACTGGTCACACAGGTCTATTGCCTTCACCTGTACTCTCAGGGCTGCCTTGGTCCTTTCCCCAGGTGTTCAATTAGTGGTTCAGGCCATGACTCAACAGTTCCCTACAGACTGCTGAAAAGAGACAAAATAGATCAGGAAATCTGAATGGGAGGAACTAAGAAAAAGAATAATTTGTTGGTATATTAAACTTGATCACACCAACAACTTGAATACAAAATGTGGGTCTACAAATCAAGAAAAAATGCAACAGAATAAGAAGTGGTAAAGCGAAGGGCAGTGATCAAGGGGATGGAACATCTGCCATATTAAGAGAGGTTGAAATGGCCAGAGCTCTTCTACCTGCAGAGGTGGAGGCTGAGAAAGAATACGGTTGAGCTTACAAAAATCATAAAGGCAGCAGCTAAGGTGCACACAGAACTAAACCACATACAGTGAAACTAATCAGAAATCAGTAACAGCCAAAGCACTCCTTTTCTCTTCTGGAGCTCCCTACCATGAGCTGTAGAAGAGGCAAAACTCAGCAAGTTCAAAAATGAACTAATTGAGATGGGTGACAGGTCCATAAACAGAAACAAAAAAAAAAAAAAATAAGCAGGGAATAATTCTCACCAAACATCTCTAATTGATGCCCAGATGCAATTACAGATGCTTGGAAGGATGAGGTGAATGACTGGGGTCTGCACACTGCCCCCAGGTAGGGCATATGCTGCTGCCACGGGCAGGGCAGTGAGCTAGAAGGATTTCTGTCCTGGTCTGACATCCTTGCATCTGGGATTCCTAGACATGCTGATTTACAGAATAGACAAAACTCAGATTTCAAAGTGGTTCTAACTCATTTAGAACACACTTTAGGGAGCTACATATGATCATCAGGGGTTAAGTACATCTTCAAGAGCAACTAAACAGTTCGTTTTATAGCTAATTTAAAAAGAGAACACAAAAACCTTAAGCTTACTATAGGTATAAAGCTGCTTTTCTCAGTTGGTTAGATGCCTCAGAAGTAGTCCACTACTCCTTTCTCTATCATAATCAATTTATTCCATGATTGGAGGAGAAAAAAGAAAAGCCAGACAAAAGAGTAATGTCCTACACTTCTGTGACGAATAAAACCAAACCGGTAAGAAAATCAAACAGGAAAACCAATCCAAACCAAAGAACACATGCCACTGAAGTTGCATTACCCCCACAAAAAGTAAGCCACTTCAAATGACTGAGTTCAGAACTTGGCGATGAAGCCATGAGATGGCAGCAGAGCCCATGGAATGAGCACCCTTTGTGGCAGGGGCATCTGCATTAAATATCACTTATGTCCCAAGTGGGTCTTAGTGTTACAAACATATTTTTTAAGGGGAACTCTAATCAAAAGCCTTGTTCTTCATTCCTGCATTACATCACTTCTTATATTTCTCACAGCTGCAGAAATTTGAACAATAATTGGATCTCTATTTTAAGATAAATCATAGAGAGTCTTTTTACCACAGTAAACCTTTAGTAAAGATGATGTGAGCTTAAGCAGTGTAGAAAGGGCTGAGGAAGCTATCAAAAATCTGTTTCTCTAGATGTATAGCTACTAGTTTGGGAAATAACAACAACAATGGAATAATCCAGTGGTATAGAGCAAGCATATGTTCTGAAGTTTGGGCCAAGTGGAGAAGGGTGGAGGACAGCTTGGGGGTGGCTGTGTGGGTGCTGTGTAGCTGCTGAAAGCCAGGATCAGCCCTATCCACAT